CGAAGATACGCTTCTGTGCTCGCGTTCGTTTCGCCCGCATCTCGGAAAATTACACGAGTCCGTATTTGGCTCGCAACACACTCGACGCTTATCCCTTTCCCTAATTTCACTTTGGGTTTCCTTATGCTGGAAAATTGTGCCGTCTTATTTCCGCCAAGTACTCCGAGGAGTAAAATCTTATCTATTTAAGTACTCGTCGCGTACAACGAGGGACAGAAATTTCAGAGAAATCTTATCATTAATTGTCTCATTGTAATCTCTGTTATTGTGCTTCGTAATATAATAATAATGTTAATATTGTAGCAGTCTAATGATGACAGCATATGTCGTAAAATACGTGTCCTCATATGAGGTCGAATAAAGATTTATTGGAAAGCAGGACCGCACACACTGCCACACAAATAAGGTCACCAACGCGTATTATTCTTTCATTTATTCAAATTTTATGCCCGACGCTTCACGTCCGCGTTGAAATAATAAGTTCATCTGTCGACTGGGCAGAATAGTCTCTCGATTTCTCACAGAGACTGTTTGAAGCTACGTAATCGGGGTTCCTGTATAATTAGTGTCAGTCTACCGATGTTATTTTCCGCGAGGAAAACTGAGAAAACTTCCAATTTTTCCTTTATCGAAACTCTTATTCTCTGTGCCATAGATTATACCGAGAACAGCCTTCGTTTAAATAATCTAATTAGTTAGGCTGTCGATCCAGCGTTAATAATAAACGTGATATGACTCGATTCACTCAACATTTCCTAAGATGATGTCTTTCCTTCATATCCATATTATACAGGGTGCTATGTAATACCCGCCTCACCTCTTATTTACGGACAGAGCGGACTAGACTGAGTCGAAAAGTCCTGTACCATTTTGCAATTTTCGCAATAGTTAACGAGTTATTAATTAGTAAAAATTGCTGCCTTAGCCCGGCCTATCGGTCAATTCAAACGCACGGCGAGACGCGGCCGACCCGCGATTGGCGTTGCTAGGCGCGCGGATGTTTATGACACACGGCAACGGCTACGTATAATAAACAACTCTCCAATAAAAATATTTCGTTAGAGACGCGTATCACTGCACGAACATAACACGAGTGTATTCTTTTCACGACTTGTTCTCGCGACTACCTCTTCGCCGGCATTCGACAGTGAAATTGTAACAGGCATACAAACGGCCGTGAATAAAAGTGACCGGCGCTTATCCGCGCAAAGGGATAATCTCATTTCGGACATGAGCAAACGAAATAAAGATTACACATCCGATTCGGATGTGTTTGCGCGAAGATAAGGCGCCCACATGTTGTGTGTCGGCGAATGGCTGCGGATGGACAGAAAATGAGCCGGTTTTACGAGTGTACATAAATCTATTGTTGTTTGTCTTGCACGCGTTACGGTTCTGTTTGGACGGTATCGGGTAATCTCTCGCGTCCAGACACGCGGGTTACGCCTTTTCGCAGATCGAAGGCTCGACACGTACGACAATGGAATTGTCGAAAGTTACACCCACCGAAAGTCACGCTACCCTCGAGATCGCGAGAGGAAGAAAGTCTAGACGAGCTGCGACCCGTGCCATATTGGTGCAACATTATAATTGCGATTCGTTCACGGACATTTTAATACACTCGCGCTTCCAACACGAGTTCCCATTTATCCGACGAACGGCAACCACAGATCTGCAAAACATGCTTTCATTCCTGTCCTCGCAATACCGCGGAAATCGATTTGGCAGCGACATCGGTTCCTCACTCTCCTTTCTTTTTGGCAGCCTTCCATGATCGACATATAAATAAGACGAGATATATTATTCTGTTTAACTATTTCATAATAGAATTTCTTTGTGATGAATCACTTGTCTCTCGACTGATACGACTGTAAATGCACTATTGATAATAATTAAGCGTTATTAGTGCTAATTAGGAAGTCATATATCGCAAATGTATCAGATTTCAACGAAATAGTTAATTTCTCTTTGCTCCTTTTACGAAAGGAAATATTTTCTTTGCTGGTTATCAGCACGTATCAAAATATCACCGCGTTTCAAGACACTCGGAAGATCTTTAAGATATATTTCAATATCGTATCGTTCGTCGCGCATCTATAAGTGACGGCACGTTGCTTCGGGGTGTGGTCGTCGCAACAAACGCGGGCATGAAATTCAATCAAAATCAAAGGGATAAGGTGTATCGGAGCGTGAAAGCAAACGCGCCCGGGTGGCTCCGCTGGATTCCTTGCGGCCGGAAAATGTTTCGCGTCGCGGTGGATCGATCGGGGCGACTTTATTATCGGAGCAGAATTTCAGTCAGTTCCCCCGAGACAATTCCTAAGGGTTGTTCCTCCCGTTTCTTATCGATCGTAGCGACTGGGTTTATCGCGTATCCGAGGGCCATCGCGGCATCCTCTGTATGAGCGCATGAATGATTATGAGCGATTATGGCTGTGAGTAGCGCGGTTATTTCGCCTGGTCTTTTAATCGGTCCCATGCGAATTCGTGCAATCTTTCACGAGGTCTCTTTGCCAAAAGTATCGGAAGCGCTGACGAAATATTTAAAGAGGATCATCCAGAGATGCACCCTGGCCCGGACTAAGTGAGCTTTCGCGGAAATCCACACGCGTAATCCTCCGAGTGCAAAGTGAAAAGTAGTCGAGATAAAACGGGAATATACTCGTAAAAAGATTTTCGTAAGGCCATTTGAAAGACAATGATAATAATATTAGAGGGGGGGGGGGGAAGCGACATAAGAGCGCTTCCAAAACTTGTTTTAGCACATTCGATATCCTTATTAAGATAATAAGTGGCTATACACGATGCCGTGTACGAAGCGCTGTTTCTGCGAGAATACATCGGTAGGAAATATTCCGGGAAACAAGATTATCGTGGTAATTATCTATGCACGAAGTCAACGTTACCTCGCCTTACGCGACGCTGCTAAAATCTGGGTCTCGCTAATCGCACAGGGGTATTATCAATATCTTCCACGGCGTGGCAGCTCGCACGAGAGAAAGGACGAAGGGACTGACGGAATGATATCCCGAGGAATTAGGGAGTCCCTCTCGGCTCATTTACGGTCCAGAACCCTTCGTGGCACTGCACGCGTTAGTCACGCACGACGGAGTCCTCTTTAAGGTTCGCGAGCGAGCGTTGTTTCTACGTACCCAGGCGAGTCCCAAAGCTCTCGGTCAGAGCTTAATGCGCCTAATGGAACCTCCTGAGTGCCGTTACCAATTTTGCCGCGACTCTCACGATTTAGCGGCGGGCCAGCCAACCAGGACATTATCAAAATTTATTGGCCGGTCAGCCGTTCGCAAACAGTCGCTGCCACCACCGTCGGAATGTTTTATGATCCTCCTTTGTGCGCGCGCACATACTTAATTCGTCTGCCAGAAAAACTCTGTTATCGTACTGGAAACTAGTTGAGAAGATATGCCGTGAAAATCCCAAGCTCGAGTATATCAACAGAGACGGTGATAAGAGATTTCATTACGAACAGATATTAGAATAGGAAGGTAACGACATTGCTTTTCAATTTTATAGTCAGATAGTTAATTTTTACTAGTTTTTATGTCACTAATACTTAATTAATTTGTATAGAAAAATTAAAATTTCTTCGTAAAGGAAAAAGGTAAAAGGAAAGTTTTTAGAAGAATATTTGCATATCTACGTACAGCATATTTTAAGAGCTTAAACTCTCGAGTTTTTAGAACATATATTTGGTTGGCTTAACCATACGCGCGCGCGCGCGACCTGTGCGATATATTAATTATAATAAATACCCGCGCAAACATGTAACACTCTGCGTGTACTCTTGTCGGGAACGGGGGCAAATATTGCTCTTTACCTTCCTATTTGACGGTCGAGATTGTGGCAATAATATTTCAGTCGGAGTTACATCGAGAGAAGAGTGTCTCGTCTCGAAAGATGCAAATACCGCCCGATTAATTCTTAGCTACGGAAACATTTCAAGCCGCTCAACATTCTTGTATGACAGCAGGTGGTTAAGTACGCCTACCGTCCCCTATCAGTGCTCTAATCGGAACTGTTCGACTTCCCGGAGTTCTAGGCGAAGTACCTAATTAGGGACGACCTTCGCCAACGCCTGTACGGCCATTTATCACGTATCTCTTCGCTGCTACGCCTCGTGGCGAAATTTGCGAAGATCAGATTTTCATCTCCGAAAGGAATCTCTGCTATTGTCATCGGTTTTCGAAATTATACGGATCCAAAAAAGCGAAATAATAATTTTTTTCCGAAAGAGCTTTGCTATTGAAGCTTTTATAATTGATTTCAAAATGTCTCCTCACTACTACTTTTGGTCGTATAAAAAAAATCCCTCCTACTTTATACAGACATTACATTACATTTTTGCTTGACATTGTTAATAAAATAACCATCTCTTTAATAAAGAAATTTTCTCTTAATTAAAAAGTCTGTAGAGTTACGACAGATTATGTCAATTAAAGGAGAAAATGAAACTCTTACGTAAACGTAAACCATTAGGACATTGTATGTACATATATTTCGGACAGTCGTAGAAAGTTAATGACAGAAAAATTTCTGGAATGTAATAATAACGACAGCAGCAGCGACAATAATAATCTCGAACAACTGTGTACGCAATAAACATAACGAAGAAAGACGGAAGTTTCAGCCGGCGCTGAAAATTTCATCTCGCGGAAACTTGGTCTCGCGGCGGCGAGGCGGAAACTTATTCGACGCGCGTTGCCTTCCGTGATATTAGAATATATCTCGGGAAGTAGGATCATCATTAATTATCCGTGCGCAAAGTCAACGTTGGCCAGAATCGCGCGCGTCAGTAATAAATCTAGGTCTCGCTAATCGTGCGATATTGCAGCGTCGTCTGCGCGTTATTCGTTGCGTGTAAACTCGGCGCGCTTAAGCTCGGGACGTTTCCCAAATGTCGGTCCTCATAGCGTAGTACAGAGGGGGACTGTTGTAGAAATGAGGGAATAATAACGGGTCGAAAGTGGAAGGATCGAACTCACCGCATCGTTGTGATTCCAGAAAATGTAGGCGGGTGGCTCTGGACTCTGCAGGACGACGCACGTGAGATTGATGGTGCTACCTCGATTGATGAACAACTCTGGCGCGCCCAGAATCTCGGTTTTTGGCTCTGAAAAGTGAAAATGTGATTTTTTTTTAAGTAAAAATACGACCAACTTTTGTTGCATCCGATCTACCGTAGGCTATCGCGAGATGAATATCTGTGCCTGACGGCAGCGAGAGGACTCTTGGAAACTTTGTAGGTACAGACTGTACACATGTAAGGGTGACTTATTATCAGGACCATTTTGCCGGCGGAAGGGAACAGTTAGGTGCCGTAATAAGTTACGGTCGTGTAATTAAATATTACATTACACGGGTGTAAGGGGAAGAAATATTTCGTGTTTTTCTCCCTACGTCGTCGTACGTCTCTTCCTCGGCAAACGAGGGCGCGTAACTCTTGCCCGGATTAAATTCACGAATCCGAGTACGGAATTACGTCTGCGCTTGGAATCCTTATTTCATGCAAATGTCAGACAGTTATCGCGGAACACTTGCCAGCGATACGTTATGATTTCTCGGTGCCTCGACCGAGCCTTCTTCGCGAGTGTATCGCGGGATGAAGACGCGCGCTCCCTCGACTTTCTTCCGCATTAAACTTGAGAATCCGAATACGGGATCCGTATCGCGCGTCTCATGACTTTATGTGCGCTTTATGTAAATAACGGATATTTGTCACGTCGCGCTTCGGGGCGACAGTTTACCATGCCGACGCAGAAAGCAACTTAGCCTCTCGCGCGCCGGATTAAATCTAAAGATTTAAAGATGAGATTCCGTCGCGACCCAGAATTTTACGTTTCTTTCATGTAAATGTCTCCCTGGTTCGACGCGTCTTGTTTTTGCGATTCTTCAGCCACGCGTTAGCTTATAAAAAGGACAATGACGCTAGCAGGATAAGGAATGAGCTCCGCCTTTTAACGCAAAACGTCGTAATACTGAATCTTATTATTCGTATCACCGCAGAGCATCTAGGTACGTGTTTGCAAAACGAAAAGGCAACATTCATTACCGTCAGCGCACTATAAAAACAACAAAGCTAATCCTCTCTATATCTTTTTATCTCGAATATTCCGCGAGAGAGAACGCCATAAATGTCGCGTTTGGATAACAAAGTCTATTTTCTGATAGCCTACAACATTCTGTCCAAGTAAACGCCCTTGTCATCGCACTCTCAAAATTGCCAATATTATTTTATAATTTACATAATTGTTTGACAATTTATATTCAAATGAAAAATACGTAAATGCGTGTAGCAGTCACGAAATATCTTTTCATATTTTTAGTTAAACGTCAAAGTAATGTAATCGCAACATATACACTTTCGCACACCCGACACGCAATCTCTGTCACACGCTATCGGGAGGGAACGCAATAAACCTGTCGCCCAATTTCTGTCAAAGTTCACATACGAAATTCAAATTTGGAAATCGAAGCGACAAGATTGGGCCGTCGTGGCTTAGGACGAGAGCAGCGACCTGTCCCTCAGCTTTGGGGGGGGGGGGGAGGGGAATCGACGCACACAAGAACGAGATCGTTATGGGAAGTTGAATCGGGGGCTCGCATCTGTCGGCAGAATTATGCAGAATTACACGCGGTGATCCCGGCGGGCAGGAATTATCCCCGGAAGTCTCCTCTATCGGCTGCCCGCCACCCTTTTATACCACCCTGCGATAACAGTCCGTCACGGGGGGGTGAGCCGGGTCGAAGCTGCGCGCGCGCACGTCGAGAATTTATTTATAATAATGCCGAAAAATACCGAGGACGTCGACGTGCCCGGGTATTTATAGTCCATGCTCGGACGAACGGACGCACAGACGAACGGGCGAACGGTCCGTTTTGCGTCCTTTTGTGGTAGCGAAGAGCGATGCGGTTGACCTGGCCTGCCTCTGTGCCTGCCTTCGAAAGAGCACTTTGAGGCGCTTCACATATAGAGAGTATCCGGTATCTGTTACTGCGGCGACGAGCCTGTTCCCGCTACGCGCGCGTGTATGCGCGCACGAGGGTGGGCATGTGCGCGTGTGTTATGGGGGAGAGATAGGGAGGAGAGAGAGAGGTCAGCCGGTAGATCGATGTGAATATTTTCTGGGCGGCCTCCTCCTCTCCGAGGATTGACCGAAATAACCGGGCAGCGTGCTTTACGGCTTTTGTGCGGCGGATGATACCCCGGGCACGACGGTTAACCCCTTCCGAATGGTTAACGGCGCCGAGACATTCCCTCCGTCTCCGTCTCCACGTTCGCGCTTTCTCTTTCCTTCGCGCTGCGGAGCTTTTCCTTTCGGATTTCTCGCTGAATCCGGATTTCGACTTTAAAACCATCCGACGTTTATTTTTAAGTCTACGGCACTTCGTTATATCTCGCGTCCTTGTCACCTACCTTTTCTCCATGATTCTCTTTGTTCCTTTTATTTTTCCGCCTCTAAGCTCGTATGTCCAATACATGCTTTCCATTTATTTTAAAATTCTCAAGTGTTCAAATGCGCAATAATGTAATATTCTTTGTGCGAAAAATGTAAAAAATGCGTTTCATACATTTTTATTCGTACAATCTCATTAATCCATAAATTATTTTAGACACATATATCTGTTTAAATTTGTGTTGCTAATTGTACTAATTTCTCTACAATTAATATTGTTACTACAACTACTTGATTATAATTTTCAGGATACCGAAAGATCATCGCATTGCACCCTGCAAGCTTCGCTTCACGTTCGCGTTTCGTGGTGAGTAAATTCAATCATCTGTGTGTACGCACATTTTCTCAATCTTGCAATTTTTTGCCTCCTGCTGTCGACGACATCGCCCATCGCGAGGGAAGTAAAAGCGGCGCCTATGAACCGGTCGATAGCACGAGTGTACGCGAAACGCTTTAATGTCGGTTAACCGCGGACGAAAGTCGATCTCGTCAGACGGCGAACCTCCGAAGCTCGGTCAGGCCCTTCAATGAAAACTTCTCGAAACTCTCGATTCGCTTGCATACTCGTTACGACCTCGGCCTCGTTTTAAATAAACGCAAAGGAATTAGTAACGTCGGAGCGTAAGCACCGTCATTTCTCTAACCAACCGTAATCGTATTCTTCCCAAGTAGTTCGACAAGAGATCGAGCGTTCAGAGATCATCGTCCGTCGACGCGGACACTTTATGCTCCTTAGCAGATTTTTCAGTACTTGCTGATACACAATTATAAGTCGTTTACGATTAATTTTCACATAATATCACAATCCAGATACAATCCATAGTAAAAGTTAAAATCGACCTCTTTCTTCCATTAACTGAATGCGATACGATTGTCCAGTCCCGCATTAAATATAAAAGTTTACATATTTATCGCAAACAGAAATATATCTTGAAATTTCGTGAAAACCTTTTTGATAATAGTATAATGCATACGCGAGAAGAAGAGAGAGAGAGAGAGAGAGAGAGAGGGAGGGAGGGAGGGGGAGGAAGCAGGAGGTGATGTCCCGCATAACGCTCTCATTTGAAACTTTATTAAAGAAGTTTGTCACGCGATTTTGCGACACGGGTGCTCAGATGAATAAAAGATGTCGATAGACGACGGGAGTAAAATGTAAACTAGGATAAGTTGGACGTCTTGAAGCGTCGTTCAAGAAGTATTCGCGGAGAGCATTGTCTCGAGAAATCGATTTTGTCCTTGCTTCTCCCGCGACGCTTTTCGGAACCGGCGCGTTTTGGATCCGAGTTAATGTAACAGCGTTTTATAATTCTGATGCATAAAAGCGAATAGAATTCTAAAGCAGGAGGAACATTATAATATATTAGAAAGAATCACCTCTAGCCTACATCTTAAGTATAAAATTGAGAAAGCAAAGATACAAATTGCAATAATTTTGAATAAAAATTTATCAAAAACCGATACAGAAAATTTCGATAATTTCTTGGGAGTATCAATGAAATTCTTGGAATTTTTGATAGTGCAACCGCGCCGGTCATGTTCTCCCGATGCTTTTTCAATTTTGATAGCGCGACTCGCACTCCAAGAATTTCAATTTCCGAAATCTACATCCCACAAAGTCGAACAAGCATCAGGAGAACATGACCAGCGAGAAGGTCGCACTATTAAAAATTAGAAAAATTTCTACGAGAATATATAACAAGTGTCGATTGATAGCTTATAAGATCTCTTCAATAATTACTACAGGAAGGACAGAATTTGATTAAAAGCAATTAGTAATATCATGAATAATGAATTGAATTACTACAAGATGTTATAGATCGAAAGATTAGCAGGGAAGCAAATTCAATTGTATCGCTTTGTATAAAAGAAACAGCAATTTACGAGTGGAATAGCAAACACTTCCCGATACCTTCTTTTTCCCTAACATAAATACGTTTTTCATTCTCGCGAAAATTTCATCTTGCATTTAACAGTGTATTTCTAAGGCACGTTGGATCATGCCCGGCAGTCCGTGAGACCTTTATCCGCTCTCTCAATTTACCTATTACGATCGATCGATCCGATCGAGTATGTTGCCGATACACGCGTCAGTCGTGCGAGTGCTTCGCATTCAGAATCCGTATTTGTCGAGCGCGTAGAATACACTCGCTCTCGATGCTTGACCTAAATAAAGCACAATCGTGAATACCCGTTCCTTCCTGTTGCGGTTTCAGCAAGGTGCAAACTGCATCCGGTCAGTTCGATCCAGTTCAGTTTACATCTCGGTCTTGGAAAACGCGCGCTACACGCGATAACAAATGGCGCACTGTCCATTGCATCGATTCAATCCCGTACTTTTCTCGTCGCATTCACTTTATGTGCCTCGGACTAGCAAAGCGAACTTGAAATAAACTTAACCGAATGTAATTTACACATTTACATGTTTCTCCTTTTCTCATTAATTATCGAACAAGCGCGCGATCGAGCTTAGTGGACTTTCGTACAAACGTTCGAAATCGGGTTTTTTTCAGTTACACAAATATCGATACAAAATTACATTAGTTTCTCATTAGACGATGCTAAACTCACGGCAAGCTATGTTTTTCAGAAAGAACGTTTTAAGGATCGAGTGAATCAATGCAGATTGGAATTCTGGTTCAGATCGATCTTTTGTAAG